CCCACCTTCCGTCAGCGACTGCTATATTTGTATTCTAAATCTTATTCAACACGATCCTTTATTAGAACAAGTGATAACGGATCATTATCTTCGCCGTAAAAATTTTTGTTTATTTAACAAACAAGAGTTAGAACGATTTCCGGCGTGGTACCTTCTGAATCATGTTGATGGGTCTGATCTATTGGATAAATGGAATGAACTTCCACCACATATTCGACGTAATGAAGTCGTCCAAATGAAGCTACCTTGTTTGGAGCACTATCCAATCTCGCTATTTAACACTTACCTACCATACAAATACCAATGTCATAAATGTATTACATAAAATAAATATGGAATATTAACTTTTTGTTTTTTACCTTATGAAAACAACGTTTCACCCCTTTACTGGTCGTTGACCCCTTGACCGGCTATTGACCCCCTGACCGTTCATTAACCCCCTAACCGGTCTTTGACTCCTTTACCGGTCGTTTACCCTTTGACCTTGACCGGTCGTTTACCCTTTGACCTTGACCGGTCGTTGACCTCTTGACCGGCTATTGACCCCTTGACCGTTCATTGACCCTCTGGACCGGTCTTTGACCCTTTACCGGTCGTTACCCCCTTGACCTTGACCGGTCGTTGACCTCGTCAGTGGTGGGGGGTATGAGGTGTAGTGGGGGGTATACAAAATGGTGGGGGTCAATAGTGGGGGGTATACGGACGGTGCGGCTAGAACTCTCACCCCTTACCTTACCATTGGAGGGAGGTATAATAATAATGGGGGGGTCGGTGGTGGGGGGTATACGAACGGTGCGGCTAGAACTCTCATTTGCCCTCTACTAACACCATTTCTATGCGAAATTTTAATCATGTCATTCACGTTTATACTTAGTGGAGAATCTTCAGTTTTAAGTGACACTTTTAACCCACCGATTTATTTGGAAAGCGAAGAACAGTATGAAATTGGATTAGCCAATTTTGACACATTTAATAGCATTCCAAATGTGGACGAAACAAACAATGTGTTTGTATGGGGTGATCATGATAACTTTAGATTTGAGATACCAGTGGGTGGATATGAAATTAATGAAATAATAGAAATTTTACAAAGAAAACTGTTAGAGTCTGGAGTCACTACTCGCATAACGTCAGACATAAAAACAACTACTGTCACAATTAAAAGTAGTCAATGGATTAATTTCAGTGTTGATAATTCTATTGGTGGTTTACTAGGATTTAGTAATAAGGTGAAACTTGAACCAAACCGACAGCACACCTCAACACAAAAAATTAATATATTAAAAATTAATACCATAGTTAGCTGCAGGATCATTTTTACATGGACAACCGGTTCATCTTATACACCAGTTCTTTCCTCTGGTTCCGAACGGGTATAAAATAGTCGAGCAACCACTAACCATTTTGTATTTTCCTGTCAGCATTAAAACAATCAACAATATAACTGTGAGGGTTCTTGATCAGGCCCGTAATTTGGTAAATTTTCGCAACGAAACTATTACAATTCGATTGCATCTGAGAGAAGTTGAATAGAAATGGTGTTACAATTTTATCAGTTTGGACACCCTTATAATAACAATAACAGAAATAAAAACAATACCAACAAACAGTATAAAAAGCAACATCAGAAACAAAGACCAATCAGTTCCTCAACAACAACGGATAATCGTATAACAAGAGAAAATCGTGAATTTTTGAAGCAGCTTGGTTTTCGTGTATTAGTATAATAAAATTGTTAAATGTAACTGGTAAACCCTTTAGTGACACAACCATTGAAGATTATCAATTTCACACATACCAACCATACAATTCAACATCTTTCAACCACAACAATGAACATAGAATTTGCGTCCAAGAATTGGACTCATTTACGCTACCATGTAACTGAAGCAGACAACTTACCAACAAAATTTAGTTTAATTAATAATGGAATTGCATATTTGTTTAGAGAACTTAGATATGAATTGAATGGAGTAGTAATAGATGCAGTACGAAATGTAGGTTTGGTTTCCACTTTGAAAAATTATTTGTCTTTAAACGAAAATGAAAGTAAATTGATGCAAAACGGAGGATGGTTTCCAAAAGATGGAAACGATAAAGTGTTAATTGACAACAGAGGAAATTTTATTTCTTTAAAATATCTGTCTGGGTTTTTTGAAGATTTTCAAAAAATTGTAATAAATATGAGGCAAGAATTGGTTCTTATTCGAGAAAAAGACGACAACGATGCTATAATTGCAAGAGACAATACAGAAAAGCCAAAAATCAAAATCACTAAATTATATTGGAATGTACCTCACATAACACCAAGTATCAAGGAGCAGCTACGGTTAAATAAAATAATTCGCACTAACACAGAACTACCTATTAAATTTAGAAGTTGGGAATTAATAGAATATCCTACTTTAAATGATTCAACTCGTCATACTTGGCCTGTTAAGACCTCAACAAAATTAGAAAGTCCTTGACATATTATATTTGCATTTCAGAAAGGTCGTAAAGGAAATATTTTAAAGGATATGAGCAAATTTGATCATTGCTACTTAACAAACATACGAGTATTTCTAAACAGTGAAAGATTTCCATATCAAGACTTAAACTTGGATTTTAACAGTAATCGCTTTGCAACCCTATACGAAATGCTAATTTTCAAGAAAGTTACTACCACATAAAAACAAATCAACCAATATTCAACCCAAAAGAATTCAAAGATTCAGCTCCAGTCATTCACATTGATTGTTCACACCAAAAAGAAATTATTCAAAGTGGATCTGTTGTTTTGCGAATAGAATTTGAGACTTCTCAAAGTACTGGAAATGACGTGTCAGTTTACTGTTTTATTTTACATGAAAAAGAATATTATTATAATCCTTTAACCAAAATTGTACGACAATAAACAGTTATTTACCAATGTTGGAAGAGTATAGACGTAAATTACATCTGTTCATCTGTGAATTATCAAAACTAAAAGCAGAAATTTTATATTTTGAAAAGAAAAAATTGGTTTTGAAAAAACTTCAACATCTTACAATATGAAGGTAATTATAGATATTCAAGGTTTTAAAATGGAAAATAATAAATTTATAGTCAAGGAATTAGCATGTTTTGATGGTCAACGTGTCAGTCATTATTTATTCAAACCTCCATTTCCGTTTCATTGCCTTCCTTCTGATTTACAACATCAAGCAAAATGGTTAATTAAAAATCATCATAGTATTGAATGGGATGCCGGTTTCACACATCTATATCACCTTGGAAATATTATAAAATATCTAACCAAAAATGCAGACATGGTTTTTATTAAAGGAAAAGAAAAAGCTGATGTTATCATGAAATACTGTACATCCAAAATTTATGAACTTGACGAACAACCAAAATTGGAACTAACCCAACCAATGTGCTTTTATCATAATGATAATAATAAATGTATGTGTGCTTTATCAAATGTATTTTTTTATATAAAAATTGTTTAATGGATGAATAATAACAAAGATCTAAATATACATATTGTATATTATAATGTTTTCTTTAACTAAATATACACCCTAAAACAAAACAAGTCATGACTTGTTGTAAAGCATGTAAACAAAGTATTGATTAACCCCACCACAATACTTTATAAAAACAAAGGAGAAAGGCAAATTTATTCAGTATAGATATTTTATTCATGCAAGATTGTCTCTATTGATAGTGCTATATTTTCAATAAACAATGTCACAAGAAAATTGCTCTTGTGTTTATCCACTACGAGAACACTGGCACTACAAACGAAGCCTATATCAATTTTCAGAAGAGGATCTAGCTAAATCCCTTGGACTATTTCATTCAAGCAGCTTCACCAGTTGAACTTTTACATGTGTGGAACAAGCTTCCACAAGATTATCGAAACAATTTTGAATTGCAAGTTCAGTTACCATGCTTTGTTCATTATAATCGTCCTGAATGGCAGAATCATGTAGACGGGCCACCAACATTACAATCAAGATGTCATTTTCGTAAAATAGGCATTGTACAATTGTAATAAAGATATTTTGTATAAATAATAATAAAATAAATCTTTGATAAACTGTTTTTTATTTTATCCAAAACCAATTACAATAATTATAGGCAACAATATTAAAGATAATAATATAATAGTAATTATACTTTCTAATGATTAAGCTACATTTTTAATTAAAGTAATAATATAAGAAGTAGACAGATTAACTTTTTGTTACAAATATTAACTTTAATTGATTTCTGTATAAAGTTTCTTTTGAAATAATTTGTGTGTATTTACAATCTTTACCGTTTGATTTTAATCCTTGATAAAATATTTTGAAACAATTAAAACATAAATTCAGATCATAATCTAAAACTTGAATATAATTAGATGAAACACACCACAACTGACATTCGTGTTTTCTTTTTTTTTATGTCTTAATAGTTCTGTTGAACAAGAGTATTGTAAATTAATTAGTTTATAACCTGTATTTAATTTTTCAATTCTGTATTTAACATACTGTTTTAAAATTTCGAGAGTTAGTCTCTAAGGAAGCAATGACACATTTGCAAATTCACTAATACTTTTAATATTCTGACAAATATTTTTAAGACAAATTTCTTGTAGTAACATACTTTTCTCAATGCAGTTGCAGTCGTAGACTGTGTGTATAGTAAATAGAAAATGATCAAATGAATTTTGACATCGGGAATTTCTATTATAGAAAAGTTCAGATATATTAGTTGTAGTTGTAGGAATCAGGCCTTTATTCAGTGACACCATGAATAGAAGGCCACTTTAAAAAAAGAAGAACTGTCACCTGTCACTTACTTTGACAGGAGAGGGATTGGCGGGTGTTTAGGAGGAGAGGTTAAGTTGAAGTGACCACGCTTTATGATTAGGTTATGAATGAATACTGTTATGTACTCTGTAGTCTGTTTTACGTAAAAATAAATAGTATCCATATCCGCCCCAGTGCTTTATTTGAGAGAGATCCCCCACAGATCAGAAGTGGGATATGGACATGGAACAAAACAATATGCAGGCAGAGGATGAAGCCAATATACCGGTCAGCGAAGCCGCCGCGACAATGCGATTGCAGGAGCAATTTACGGTGGAAGATATGATTCAATCGACATTAAGAGCCCTATTAATATATCAAGACAAGTCAAAGACAACCCACAGTACAGGGCCACGAGAAAAAGAGCAGTCCTTTGATAACAAAGAAATAGCTAACCTATTACCTGAGTTTTCTGGTCAAAATACGGACATTACACTATGGCTAGAAAGACTTAATGCAGTACAAAGTGTGTATAATGTGCCTGACAATATTATGCAAATTATAGCGATGGGAAAATTGATGGGCCATGCAAAAAACTGGTTTAATTCCAAAGTTGACTACGTTATGATGGATTGGGAAACACTAAAAAGTGAAATGAGAAAGATGTTCTCTAACCCGGCAGATGTCGTGATGCTGCGCAGAAACTTTGAAAGAAGAAGGTGGAAATCAGGTGAGAAGTTCACTAACTACTACCAAGAGAAAATTACTTTAGGAAATAGTGCAGGAGTGCCAGAAGGTGAGTTAATCCAATATATTATTGAGGGTTTTGACAATCCAACACTCCAGTGTCAAGCTAGAATGATGTTGCATGAAATTAGAACCATTGAGGATCTATTTAGCAGAATGTCCAATGTGGTAAAAGATACTGTCCCACAGCTTAATCATAATAGGTTTCCGAAGAGTACAGCTAGCACTTTTCGTCAAAGAAGTTCCACACCAGCAGTGCAGCGTAATGGAATCCGTTGTTTCAATTGTAATCAAGATGGGCACAAATTAAGTGATTGTACCAGGCCACGCAGGGAACGAGGTTCATGCTTTAAATGTGGAAAGATGGATCACAGACTTAGAGACTGTCCAGAGCGAGTTCAGCCAGATAGTACAACCAATGTTGTACAAGAAGCAGGAGTGCAACCCTATATGGTAAACATAGACTACTCTGTGGAGGTAGGAAGTGATATATCTAGTTTTAACATTACTGCTTTAATAGACAGTGGTTCACCTATTAGTATTATTAAACTTAAATATGTTCCACACAATTTAATTATACCCACAGTGGAAAACAATAAATTTACAGGGATTAATGGGACTCCCTTGGAAATAGTAGGTACATTTCAGAAAGATATATGCATTAATAATATTATGGTAAATTTAAAGTTTTATGTTGTACCAAACAATACAATGTCATATGCTCTGATATGGTGTTAACCAAATTGGTAAGATTAATGATGTCATTAGGCAAGAATTGGAATCAAGCAATGTGCAGGAAAGGAACCTAGGCGAGCTCAGGCAAAAAGCAGCCAACATCATTATGAGCAGTCAGGAATCCAGTGAACAATATTACAATTTGAGAATCAAATCCCCCAAGGAATATAAGGTAGGAGATTATGTACTCATCCGAAATATTGATGTGACCCCAGGGGTAAATAAAAAGCTTATACCTAAATGTAAAGGACCTTTCATTATTAAAGCTAAGCTTGATTTTGACAGGTACATAGTATCAGACATAGATGGGTTCCAATTGACCCAAAGACCTTACGAGACTGTGGTTGGTCCTGATCAGATGAAGGCATGGTTGCATGATCAACCAAAAACTGATTAAAATCATTATGTAACCTTTGTTATTTTCTTTTAATTTTGTAAGTCACTAGTTTATTCGTTTATGAAACTATAGCAAGTATCATATTGTGTTGTAATATTAGGTTTAGATGTAGGTAACTATACCATTTTGTAGAGTACTATTTTATTTGTAAATTGAATATTATGAATCCTTATGACCATCATTACACTGTGTATCAGGTATTATTGTAGTGTCCATGACGCACCATTTTATGTATTATGAAAGTCTTTAGACTAATTATGTTTATGCAGGTTTATGCACTTATGGAAAATTTATAATTATGTTCTTACGTATGATCTGACAACTTATTGTTAGTTAATGATATTTATGCTACTTATGTTCTTTCTTATGTTATTTGTGTGTTTACGTGTTTATGAAATTCTTTATGTGTAGAGTATCGGGTCGATCCTCTTGTCAGGATGGTCGACTGTAGGAATCAGGCCTTTATTCAGTGACACCATGAATAGAAGGCCACTTTAAAAAAAGAAGAACTGTCACCTGTCACTTACTTGGACAGGAGAGGGATTGGCGGGTGTTTAGGAGGAGAGGTTAAGTTGAAGTGACCACGCTTTATGATTAGGTTATGAATGAATACTGTTATGTACTCTGTAGTCTGTTTTACGTAAAAATAAATAGTATCCATATCCGCCCCAGTGCTTTATTTGAGAGAGATCCCCCACATAGTATAGATTTTACTTGACTCAATGTTCTTGTATGTAGAAAATATGTAAAGCATTCTTAACATTTTATCAAAATCACGTGCACAATCAAAACAAAAATTTAGATTGTATTCATTAAAGTTTACAAATTTTGAAGTTGCTACATATTTATTAGCTTTAGAAAAGCAATTTTTACATGATTCCTCACGGTAAGAAACAAGCTTAAAGTCTGCTTCATGGGACACTACATTTTTGAAAAAACGACTAAGTTTATTGGTGAAGTAAAAAATATTTAATTCAAATACATAATTTATAGAATTGTAATATATTAGTAAATAAAAAACATATCCTTTGGTATACAGTTTAATTATATATGTATAAATACTTCATTGGAAAATGTTATTTCACAAGGAGTCCCGTTTTTATCTATAATATTGGTACTGAGAATATAATATATGCATTTTGCATGTAATTGTATTTTCTGGACATTTAAAATAGTTTACTGCATAATGGTATTTTCCAAGGGAGTCCCATTTTTATCTATAATATTAGTGTCGAGAATTAGACACACACATGCATTTTATATATAATTGGCATTTCCGGATGCTGCATGTGTTGCGTTACTAGTATTTGCTATTGAATAATTAGTCATGAACCAACACGACTTTCAAGAATAAACTGGAAAATGTTTAATATTAGATGCATGTGACGTCAATTAAGCCACAATATAAAATAGGATGCACGCCGGTTTTTCATTTATTGTGCTTTGTTTAGCAATAAGAAAAAGTTGTTTGTGTCTAAAAGTTGTGTTGTGACTAATATACCGAGGTAAGTTTTCTCTTTGTATGATTTTGTTTTTTAACTTGTATATTCACATATTTTTGAATTCTTTGTAAGAGTACACATATTTTTCTCGATATTCGCCTTATTGGTTTTATTCGTACAGTATACATAATATTTCTCTATTTCCATGCAGTATACACTATATTTCGATAAAAAAATGTTATTTTAGTGTTCTTCGATAGAAATTTCAAGTTTATTCGCCATACCTATTCTTTATTTTCTAATATCTTGTTCTATGTTCGTTTATATTCATAACAATATACATATTATGTTGTTTTTGGACGTGTATTTTGATTTTTCGTTTTTGCTATTATCTGATGCCAATAGTTTTAGTTCGAATTTCTAAATATATACAGTTTTGTATGCAAACCAATAAAAAATTGAAATACCGGTCATTCGCACAGTATACATATTATTTATATTTTTATACAGTATACATAATTTTTCAACAAAAATGTTATTTTTAGTAATCTTAGATAGAAATTTTAATTATTTTTCTCGATCTTCGTTTTATTTGTTTTATTTCTCAATTTTAGTTTTATTCGTAAAGTAGACATATCATTTCTCTATTTTCATGTTGTATACACACTATTTCGATAAAAAATGTTATTTTAGTGTTCTTCGCTAGAAATTTCAATTTTATTTCGACACTAGACATATTCTTTTTTTTTAATATCTCGTTCTGGTATGTATATTTTAACAATATATACTATTTCTTTTTTCATATGTATTTTTGATTTTTCGCTTTGTTATTATCTCATGCCAATAGTTTTTAGTTTGAATTTCTATATATATATATATATATATATATATATATATATATATATATATATATATATATAGTTGTGTATGTAAACCACTTAAAAATTGAAAGACAAGCCATTCGTGTAGTATATATATTATTTCTATTTCTCTATTTTTATACAGTATACATATTTCGATGAAAGGGCTGACCATTCGTACAGTATACATATTATTTCTATTTTTATGTAGTATACATATGATTTCGATAAAAATGTTATTTTGGCATCCGTCGATAGAAATCTCGATATTATTCATACAGTATACATATTCTTTCTTTTATAATCTATTCTATTCTACTATCTATTTTATTTTCGTAGCACGTTTTGTTCGTAACAATATACATATTATTTCTTTGATTTGCCGTTTTGTTGTTATTTCCTAATAGTCTTAGTGTGAATTTTCTAAATATATAGATTTGTATAGCAAGTTAATATTTTCAGATGGATCTAGCAAAAATTAACTCTGCGTCTTCAATTGCAGAAAGGAAACCGATAAAAAAATTAAAAGATCTACCAGTTGGACAGCCGTTTCCAATACAGTCCGCAAAAGTGGTGAAGGGCAACTTTGGACCAGCAGTTTTGCTAGATATGGGAACGGAAGTAGTTTTTCTGCCTCAGCGGGTGACGGAAGTGTACCAACCAGCCATAGGGACACTTTGTGGAGGCAAATATTCTGTTACATTCGAAGGAGAAGTAGACGTTGGTAAAAAAAGACTCCTATCATCGTTTAGGATAACCGAAAATTAACGTTTAAAAAAAAGGATAGGGGTGAGCAATTTTTTAATTTTTTTCCAATTTGTTTGTCGTAAAGTGTTCTTTTATAAAATAAAATGTCTTCGAATAATATTGATAATATTATCAAACAAACGGACGGTGTTGTACTAGCAATTAAAAAATTACGAAAAATTTTATTTGATAATTTTACAATCAGAGATGCGGAAGTATGGCTAAAACGATTAAAAAAACAAATTAAATTATGTAAGAAGGTAATTCGTAGTAGGAAACAAAACAAATTATCTATAGGCACTTGTAGAAAAATAGAAACAAATTTGGGTCATTTTAAACATTTTAGAAAACTAATTTTAAATAGGCATATAGGGTCGGGTCTTCATTTAAAGTTGGGTCAAAGGGTTAAATGGGAAAATGTACAATTAAGTTTTCAAAGTAGAATCAAAACCGGAATTATAGCTAATTTACGTCATAAGGATTTGAATCAATTATTAGGAGATTGTGTAGTTGTTTTTAAAAATAAAATCGGTAAAATTTTAAAAACCCACTCTGCACTTAAAGTAAATACAGCATTTTGTGGGGAGTTTATTAGAAAATCAGGAGATAATGAGATTTTGTAAATTAAATATTTTAATACTAAAAACTATGTTATTGATAAATCAACTCAAATAGACGAATGGTTCAAGGGAAATGTAGTAGATAAACTTTTAAACGAATTATCGGAATTTGCCGAAAAAGATTCGGGATTTGCATTAAATAAAATTGTTTCTTTAGCTGTTAATATAAATAAATTTCAACTTGGAAATATTTCATTTTACATTAGACTCCCAGAACCAATTTAAAAAAAAATGCTTGTATAAACATTAAAAATACAGATCACAATTGTTTTTACTGGGCCATCGTAAGCGCTCTTCGGGCTCCTAGGAATAAAAATCATGCAGAAGAAACCTCTTCATATCCATACTTTACAGAAGTTTTACAAACAGAGAATTTAGATAGTCCTATGCCGCTAACAAAAATTTCAAAATTTGAGAAATTAAATAATATTTCAGTTAATGTTTACGCTTTAGAATTAGTTCAAACAGACAAAACATTATTTTACACAGTATTACCTGCTAGATTAACGGAAAATAAACGGGACACACACGTTAATTTACTTTTAGTTCAAAATAAATATTATCCGCGCTTAAATGATTATGATGCTCCACCAGCTGATGATGATTGTAACGAAGATATTAAATACCATTATTGTTGGATTAAAAATCTTTCGCGTCTGGTTAGTAGTCAGTTAAATAAGAACAATCACAAAAAATTTATTTGCGATAGATGTATGAATTATTTTCATCAGCAAAATAAATTAGTTGAGCATGAAAAAGTGTGTTCTAAATTTAATAAATATAAAATTAACTTTCCAAAAGAGAGCCACGTCGAATTTAAAAACTTTACATATCAGCAAACTACTCCTTTTGTAGTTTATGCAGATTTTGAGTGTCAATTAGAAAATTATAACCAAAGCAACGTAAATTTAACTAAAACCGTAAAATATCAAAAACATGTTCCATATAGTGCCGGTTTTTATGTAAAATGCAACTTTGACGACAACCTTTCGTATTTCGATAGCTACCGAGGTGCAGATTGTATGGATTGGTTTGCGAATCGTATGGCTGATGTTGCGAAATTTGTAAACTCAAAAATAAAAACAATTACGCCTATGATTGAAAAAGCAAATGCAAGTACAGCAACATCGTGTCATATTTGCAGTAAAAGTTTTTCGATCAAAGACATAATCGTTAAAGATCATGACCATTTCAGTGGGAAATTCAGAGGTTTCGCACACCAAGCATGTAATCTGAACTTTCGAAAATTGTTTGTAGTGCCTATTATATTTCATAACCTCTCTGGATATGACTCACACTTTATGATTTCAAATTTATGTAAAAAGGTCACTTGAGTGTACTTCCCATCAACAAAGATAAATATATCTCCTTTACGCTGCACTCAGATGAAAATAACATTAAATTACGATTTATAGACTCTTTTCGATTTATGGGGGCTTCTCTTGATGAATTAGTTTCAATTTTATCTGATTCAAAAAAGAAAATTTTACAGAGGGAATTTCAAAATTTTGATGAAAATAAATTTAAACTACTAACGCGTAAAGGAGTTTTCTGTTACGATTACATTGATTCTTTAGAAAAATTAAATGAAAAAGATTTGCCCTCAATTGAAAAATTTTACAATAAATTAAACGATGAAACTATAAGTGATGAGAAGTATGCTCATGCACAATCTGTTTGGCAGCATTTTAATATTCAAACTATAGGGGAATATTCCGATATTTATTTAAAAACAGATATTCTGCTTCTTGCTGACGTTTTCGAACAATTACGTAAAAAATGTTTCTCTACCTATGGTTTGGATCCTGCGTGGTACTATACAATGCCCGGATATACGTGGGACTGTATGCTCAAGTATACTGGGTGTAGGCTAGAACTATTAAAGGATCCAGACATGGTGTTGTTTTACGAAAATGCCATAAGAGGTGGAATATCCGTGTGTAGTAATCGATTTTCGGAGGCCAACAATAAATATATGTCTGAATACGATCCTAAAAGCCTTCCAAGTACCTTATGTACCTGGATGTAAACAATTTGTATGGTTTTGCAATGGAGCAGCTCTTACCCTACGGAGGCTTCAAATGGGTGGATGATGTAACATCGTTTGATGTGACATCAATACCCGACAACTCTGATATAGGATATGTGCTACAAGTTGATTTATCATACCCACAAGAATTGCATGATAAACATAAAGATTTTCCGTTTGCAGCCGAACGCAGCGTACCGCCCAGCGGCGGGGTAAAATTGTCGAAATTAATGACAACACTTAACGATAAAAAAGAATATACTGTTCACTATAAAAATTTAAAACAAATGCTAGCTAATGGATTAAAGTTAACGAAAATTCATAAAATTTTACAATTTAAACAGGGAGCCTGGTTGAAGCCCTACATCGAGCTAAATACTCGAAATAGGGCTATAGCTCGTACAGATTTCGAAAAAATCTATATAAATTATTGAACAACGCTGTGTTCGGCAAAACCATGGAAAATATAAAAAAACACCGTATTTGCAAAATTGCCAAATCTTGGGGAGGTCGTTATGGCGCCGCAAACTTAATTTCAAATTTTCGATTCCATAGTTGCACAATTTTAGAGGAAAATCTGGTGGTTATCGAATTAAAAAAGCTTGAAGTAACGTTTAATAAACCTCTGTATGTAGGGCAGGCAATTCTAGACCTCTCAAAGACAGTCATGTATGATTTTCATTACAACTATATGTTACCAAAAATGGGAGCAGATAGGTGTAAGCTTATGTACATGGACACCGATAGTTTTGTCTACGAGTTACAGTGTGAGGATGTATATGAGGAGGTAATTAAAGCTGACTCTAGTAAATTCAATACTTCAGATTATTCGGAAAATAACATATATAAAATACCAAGAAAAAACAAAAAGGTGCCAGGTCTAATGAAAGATGAAAACAACGGTAAAATTATGACACATTTTGTTGGGCTTCGAAGTAAAATGTATAGTTACAAGGTGCAGGGTGGGAAGATCGTTAAAAAATCTAAAGGAGTTAAATATAATATTGTTAAAAATAAAATTAAATTTGAGGATTATGTTGAATGTTTAAAAAATTTTAAAGAAAAACAGCTACACAACGCTGTATTAGGTCATATGCACATAACGTCTATTCTATCGAACAAACAAAAATTGGTTTAAGTCCGTATGATGATAAACGCTATTTAATTCCGAACAGTTTTGACACGCTTCCGTGGGGTCATTACAGTATTTTAGAATAAGCCTTTTTTTGTTATAGATGAAGGTTCCAACATTATTAACATTATCTGTTAAAAAAATTTGTGAATCAATAACATCAGCAGCAGATTTTATGCTACAATCTCCGCTACCATGGAAATTAACCAAGAGAATAGTGGTATATAGTGGTGGGCCAACCTGCGATTTTTGTGTAGCTGTGACAAAATGTGACTGCTCCAGTATTGTCACGGTGACAAAAAGCAGTGATTTTTTGGAGCAGTTTAATCTTAACTGCTACCCTGCTACTATTGCTACCTTTGAATATTCCAAAATATATTTTATTTTACCTTATTTTTTAAGCAATAGATATGCTTGCTGTTTTCTTTATTTTTGTTTATTATAAGGTTTGTATTATAAAAGTATTATATATAGTCAGTAGGTTCTTTATCATTATCAGTTTCTGTATTTTTATGTTAAAACAAAACAAAACTTTATTTATAATTATATATGTTATACTTTACTTTATTATAAATCTTTACTATAAAATATTATTATAGACTTTATTATAAAACTTTACTATAGTACTTTATATAAAAAAAATTATTTTAGGCAATATTTTTTGTACTGCGTTGTTTTTTGTACCACTGTTTTATTTTTATCTTTGGTTATTGCAATTTTGCCCTTAAAAGTTTTAGAAATAAGTAGATATATTGATTTTATCTTATTCAATTCTTATGTTTTTTACTTTATGATAATTTAATATGACTTAGAAAATAACTTGTTACGGATTTTTAACGGTGCTATTTTCCCACGCTCGACCACGTCGTTCCTTATGTTACAAATAGCAAATAATAGTCACAGTCACCATATGAGAGCGACTGCTCCATTTTGAAAATGCTCCGTCAATAAGGCTTGTCACTGTCGCAATTACGATCTATGGACCAGCGCAACGTCTTGTGTAGCGTACACCGGACCGAAGTGGTGCAGTCACAGTAGACTAAAACGTGACTGAGTGTCACTGCTATATTATTCCAGATGTAGCGGACTGTGACTGTGACAGCGTTGTAGCAGTGACAAAGTAGCAGTTCGTGAAATCGTAAACCCACCACTAGTGGTATATTATCCTAAATTTAAATGGCGTTTTATGATAAAGAAAGCTAAAAATGATTCTGATCATTCATATGAAAGACTTAACTATATTACATGTTCCAAAGAAATAGATCCAGATTTAATTAATACTATATTAGGAAAATCCGATTGGGAGTATGTTTTTGAAAATTATTCTAGTTATTGCGTATGGTCAAGTGGATATTTCCTTCAACAATATCGTCTTAAAGTATGCAAAAGGTGTTTTTATCAATTTAAAAAAATACATGAATATTTAAATAAATATATATTTGTTTGCTATGACCATTCTCACGAGGTTTGCGATATCCATGATATTATTAAGGATGTATACCAACAAAAATATTATTAGTGTCATAACTGTTTTGAACGTGTATTATTTAAAATAAAAGATACCGATTCTTGTATAGATGACTTACATGAAATGCCTAGAAAAACCAGATTTGATGATTCAGATGTAGATTGTGATATTGACTCTTTTGAAAACAATTATTAACTTTTTTCGACAAACAAATTTTAAAAAAATTAAAAATTGTTCATTCTTATCTAAGTTAATGTTTATATTATATTTTGTACATATATTTCTGTAAATAAAAAAATGTCAAAATAAAAAAACTTTATAATAAAATATTCCTTATTTTAATTTACATTTTCCCAAAACAAATTCCCATTTAGACATTAATCATTGATAAAATAAATTTACTTTAGATAATAAGGATTTCAGTTGTTTTATTAATCCATTATCAGGACAAGGGAACCCTAACAAATTTCAGTTAAAACTACCTTTTCAACGACACTTCTTGTAAATTCATTAAACTTGTAATAAATGTTTTGCTTTAAAAAATATATATGCCCATCAATGTAATTAAATGCTGATGTAATATCATTTGGTATTCCTGGAAAAACGTCACTTATGCGTCCTCTTGAGATAATGCCTTTATCATTAAATTCAATAAATGAACCATCAAAACAAACAATTTTTTTTCCTGAATTTGTTTGAAATAAACCAGCAATACTTCTTGCGTTATTAACTTCAGGCACCATGTTATCTGTATGAATTCTTAAGCTAGGAAATGCTGCTGCGTATATACGATTCCTACTTACACCAATTAAATCTCCATTGGTACTTTGAAAAACATGTGTTACGTTCGTAATTCCCCTTGGCAAATATCTTATAAATTGTTCAGCATCGGTGGGTATCTTTTCATTATTTAAGTCATATTTCCATATCAGATCCTTACTTACTATGTACATTCGGTATGTTGGAAATGATGGAGCGTATGCTAAAAATATTAAATCTGGGTATTCCAATTCACATACATTCGTTATGACATTTTGCATCGATTTATTACTCTTGGCTATTGTGGTTGCCTTACTCCTAGATCTTTCTGTTGTGGTTGTCTTTAAAGTTGGAGAACTGCTCCTTGTAACACCAGCTTGAGTTGGAATCGATGTGGATTTACTTTTAGGTCCATATAACTCTTCTAAGCCCCTTTTATCATCTTCAGATATGTTAGTAGGTAGGGTTTGATGAAACGGATACATTACAGCCTTCTTATCTCTACTATGGGATAAACCTAAAGCGTGACCAACTTCATGAAGAATTACAGCAAAGAAATTTGTTCGACCTTCTGCTGTAGAATTCAAACTGAAATCCCATGTTAGGTTTCCATTCATATGAATTTCTATGCATCCAGATGCTGGTGGAAAATAAGAATGTGCTAATACACCACTTGTAAATTTAAAAGGACAGTCGCTGTTACCCTGGCAATTATATCGAAAAGAGTGCTGCTTTGGAACGACTGTTATTGTTATATCTGGATTTGGAATTGGAACTTTCAGATAAGTAAACTTAAATTTTGATGCTTTTTCCCATATTTCAAATACTCTTTTAGAGACTGCCAAAGCTTCAGGGGTAAATTGCGGAAAATACCATTTTAAATCAAATTTTTTCCATGCTGATTTTACAGCGTAAGCATTGTCTCCTTGTGTACATCTTGGTTTCTGCATTAACGCCATTGTTTCTCTATTTAATTTTCCATCCACAGGTAAATTATATCTTTCTTGAAACTGTTCTAGTATTTCAGTAATATCAGTGTGTGCAGTTTAACTTGTGGTGATATAACCATATTGTTCTAACCATGACACCGCATTTGTCTCGTTAAAATTTTCACCTAAGCAAAAACTTACGATGCTAGTTGCTATGAGCAGAACAACTTTATTGATATGCATTTCGAATGATACTGGTTCAAATAAGAAAGTATTAGTTTGATATAAGTAAAATTTGACACTTTTTGACCCCGCCAGCCCGACTGATCTTATTTTTAATTTTAAATAAATAAAACAACAAATACATATTTTTAAAAGCTTTATTAAATTCTTTCAAGATCATTAGCGATCCTATGTTTACAGAAAAATATAAGTTGTTCTAACGCTATACGTTGTAAAGTATATCCTTCCCGTGTAAATGTATACAATTTTTGAATGCCGTCTACAAACGTATAATTTTGATTACTAAAACTATTTCGAACAATATTAAGCGTATTATAATAATAATTTGAAAATTCAATAGTCTCTAGCATGCATATATACGGTGTTAAAAGTTCGTTATTTGCTTCTAAAAGGGTGTTCACTTGCATTTCTGAGAGACAAACGTTAATGTCGTGCTTGGTTATTTCGAGAAATTTCATGTTGTCGTAGA